GTGGAGTATACTACGGCCTTGCCAAAAATGCTATCTCGGAAACTAAGCGAGATAGAGATATAGTTACTTTGGAGAAAATGGTCCCCATCGAATTTTGAGCAACTTTGGTTTTTGTGTGTGGTCTGTCTGTCTGTCTGTCTGTACTCTGTGGTAATCATAAATCGATATATCTCCGGAACCCTTTGACATATCGACTTGAAATTTTGCCATCTTATTGTACTGAAAACAATATCATGTCATTGAAATATGAAGGAAATCGGAAAACTCTAAGGTGGTTTTTCCGGGTTTCTTCGATTTTTCACCGGAAGTTTCTTGTGGCCACTCTACAAATCGCAAAAGTGGTCCGATCGATATCATTTTTTTTTAAACTCAGGGAGAGACGAAGCCTATTCAAATCGAGCAGGGTCAGGAAATTCTAAGTGGGTTTTTCAAGGAGATTTTCCGAAACACACAGTTCGCTTCAAAACGACATATCTCCTGAACCAATAGACTAAATACAAATTTGAAAAATGCACCGTATGCCTCTTTGATGAAGCAACAAATTATTATTTCACCATTTTTTCGTGCATCCATCGGAAAATGAAAAAACTAATGGAAATCGAAACATCAACATTTGAAATCCTTTCAATTCAATATATATCGAAAACAAATGAAAAAATCGAAAATTATCAGAAGTGCAAAGTTATCCACTGGAACATTTCCTATGAATTATTACCCAAATTTTTTTCTGTAAACCCAATAGTACAGGAAATAAAGTAAAAAATATGAAAAAAAAAATTTGAACGACCCATAGGGTACCATGAAGATATATTGAAAAACAGAAGATTATCGATAGATGAAGATAAAAACGATACGATGAAAAAACTAAAAAATTTACAAGTTCCTAGATAATCACTTGCCAATAGAAAACGAAACAAAAAACAAGAGAAAGTAAAAAAATCACACTCGAATGTCTTGATTTTTTTCCCATAAACTACTTACAGCAAGTAATTTTTCGAAAAATATACTTTTTCTGCAACCGACACAAAAGAAGTCCATGACACAAAAATAGGTATGTTGCTAGGCAACACATTTAACTCCTAGGAGCTAAAGTTGAACTTTAGCTTCTTGGAACTAAAAAGGATGTACTAGAGGTCATTAAGAATAATCGACATTATTATGGTTGGTTATTTGGGCTGGGACGCGTAACTGATTTGTTTCCGATTTCGACAGATTTGGCATTTCATACCCATGCTGGAGATATAAATACACCTCAGTATAGTCTTTGAGTATTCACACTAGTGTATATAATCGGGGGTATAGTTGAGTATTTTTGTTTTGGTCAGGAAAGTCTTCAGGATTCACATACTTGCTTGATATGTATTTCATTGTTATTCTCGGGATGAGTAACTTGTTTTCGAATAATCACGGCCAGCAATAGTTTTTTGTCTCAAACAACGATATTGTTTATCTACATTTGATTATCAAGCCAAACACAGTGGAGTATGGAGAAAAATAAATAATCGCTATTATTATTGTTGATATGCTCACTAACCTAACATTTTCCACGTCTTGTTCCTATACCTGGCACTGGTGCGGTATTTATTCGAGTTAATTGTTTCGGTTGCAGAAAAAATAGCATGTTTCATTCGGATCAAAAGTGACTTTCTTTGACTCGTAAATTTTGCAAAATTCGCTTGTCAAACAAAGTGGCACTTTCGATCCTAATAAAACAATCTACTATTTCAGAAAAAAGGTTCATTTAGGCAAAGTTAGGTTAAAATTAGTTTTCTTTTTCATGCAGAAACGATATTTTCCTTCCCTACCTTACCTTATAACCTTCTGACAACCTTGAGATCTCAAAGATTTGTCGGTATGCCTAGACGCTCGTCGAATTATCCGCGAAGATACAATGGGGAGGGGGTGGGTAGAAGCAGAGGGCATTCGTTTTCAAGGCCTCGTGAGCGAGCTCTCCATTCGTCGGACGAACAGGGCAGGGCTGATGAATTTTTAATGTGATACAAAGTAGAGGCCGCCGCCAGGGGACGCCGGCAAACCAAACGAGGTTAGGAAGTTGGTTGGGGGAAGTTCGGACAGTTAATAAAGAAAATTGCGCGCAAACGAGGGACGAACTCCATCTCCTCGGGGAACAAACATTATTAGGAAAGATGGGAATTGAGACTCGCCGTCATTTCAGAGAGGACAAGGCCACTAAGAGTTCATCTTCGCAGGAACATTTTGTTTTTCCAGCACTAGCTACAGGCGAATCTTGCTTAGTAATACGCCCTCTACCGTTGTCTAATATAACTAACGTATGGGCTATTGATTGCTTTGTTCTTTGTTCATTATTGTTGTGTACCTCATTGTTCATCTTGAGCAAAACAATCTCGAGTATAGCTTTAGCTTTCATATCTTTCGTAAATCAGGGTTTTTGGGTCCCGATCAAATCGACTGGAATCATAGTACGTTGTAGTTTGTGATATCCTGACCTGATCAAAAGCTCTCATGGGCCCAACATATAACTAGTTTTCGAACAACAGTCAAATGTTGGATTGTGTGGCTTTGAGGGTGGTAGAACAAACATATTTTTCTAAGTGAATTTGTGCCCTATAAGCTTCAAAAAACGACTTGTTGATAGAATCTCAACCTCAATATTAAGTTCATTTGAAGAGTAATTCGATCAACTGAAATATTGATAACAGGGTGATGCCTAATATCTTGACGGTGAACTATGTTTCGTATAATAATCTTGAATTTTCATAAATCAAATAGAAAAGACATACAATCCGTGTTGAGAATTGAAGTTCATTGAATAAATGAAGAAAAAGGAAATTAATAATTTGATTATATGAGCGAAGCTATGTGCTATTGCGTATCATGCAATACTTGATATTTCAAGTTTGATTTATCAATTCCATTTCCATTTTACTTGAACAGATAATACTTTCTAGCTCTGGATATTTTATGTTTTTGTGAAATGAATGCCCCTTATTTTATATTTCGTCAGTGGAATCATAAAATATTTCGACTAATCTTATATTCTATTAGTATTTATCGAGCTACAACCCATCAAATGTATCATTTCTTATGAGTAGTCAAGGGCAGATATTTTGTGAATTAGTTGAAGACCAAACTGCAAGCTTCACTTCATGTGGTACGTACCTACTCCAAATAATTGAAATGTCGATTACAGGATGCCATCAAGAATCTTGACAATAATTCATTTAATGTAAAAAAGTCGGTGAAACCTATATTAATCAGTTTATTGGACAAAATACATGAATCTCTTTGAATGAGTAATGCTATAATTCAATTCACCACTCAATTGTGCCATTTGTCTTGCAGAAAAAGATGTTTAACAAATGTAACACCGTATACGAATTCTATAAGCCATATTCAACTTCGAAAACTGAGAAAAATCGATCCAATCAGAAGATATTCCTCACAAAAATCGAAGAATCGATGACAACGAATATAACAGTAAAATATGTGCACGAATTGACAGACTATTTTAGATATAATGTTTATTTTTCGAAAACATTCACTCGGTACACTACACTGTTTTACCACTAACCAAACCGATTTTTTAAACGCCTCGACACGTGTTTCGCTAACTATGTTAGCATCTTCAGGAGAAGATTAAATCAGTTTTAATCTTCTCCTGAAGCACAAAAATGCATACACATTTTCTCGAATAATTTCTACAAGTTCAACAAAATCACCAAAGGGGCAGAAATAATAATTAAATTAAATTAAAATTCACACAGGTGACAATACTCTATTGTGAAGAATGCTTCTACTATACCAGATGTTCTTGAGAAAATGGTACATACACATTCACGAGCCCAAATATCATCTATCTATCCCGACAACATCCTCATTCCAAGAGCACATAATAATCAAATGATCAATTATTCCAAAAATTACTTGTGTGAAGTTACCAATTCTGTTCTGATTGATTGGTTGTCATCATGTTGTGAACTAAGTTTATTTGTTGCACTCATGAATGGAAATTTACATTGTTTCAATCTCCCTGTCAGGGCTACAAATAAGAATATATCCCACCCCAAGGTTATTCTCCGCCAATAACAGCATGCCTCCTATGGACCGAGAACCGGACTAAACACTCTACTGACGGTCAAACTAAAAGTCTTAGTTGGATTTTCACCGGGTCGGTAGCTGAACAAGATGAAAAAAGTCCTTCACGTATTTATTATTCTAAGGTACAGTTTGTTATCACTAATTTTCGAGTCACTACTTATTTTTTTTTCAAAACAAGAGGGAGTGTTGGCCCGTGAGATCCAGAAGATTGAAAAAAATAAATCATGGGTATCCTCAGTTGTATGAATATAATATTCCCCCGACGAGTCAAATAAATATTCAATTACTTTTATCACATACTAGCAAAAGGAGAAGTAATCTCCAGTTTTTGACACAATCTTCTGAATACAAATTTCGACATTTTATAACGTAAAAATGGAAATTCCTACCTAGGTACGAATTGTTACCATATGAAAATTTCAAACAGTCGCTCGTTTTACATAATAGCTTTTCCATATGCGCGGGGAAATATTATTCGCGAAAAATATGAAAAACGTGCCAGAAATACCGTTTGAAGTGAACACGTATTCCAGGTCGCAGTGAGCGCATCTCTGACATTTTTATGGGCTTGTTAGTTAGTATTCAGCAAGCGACCTCTCTTTCTTTCTATAGCTCGCCCAGTATAGAAGCGAATGCGAAATTCCATTCCATATTTTTATCAAGTTTTTAATGCATTATCCGAATAATGCGATCTATTAAAATATGTGCTTGAGAGAATTGGCAACGCAGCAATGCGAGTTCGGAGAGTCCTACTCACGACATGATGTTTTCTCATTTCTCTTCTCATAAATAAAGGTATGTATCAATTTTGCTTACAAATGAATCTATACATTTTACTATACACGATGTTTTACCAATAGTCAACCCAATTTTTTGTCCCCCTGAGAGGAGGAAATCAGCTTCTTGATCAGAACTAATCATCATTCTTTTTTCCTTGATTCGCTGAAACATACGAAGGGTAAGAAGTGATATATCATATATCCTCATTCATAACCATTCTAAGGCTTTCATGATAATATACATCTTTTCCATTCTCGGATTTTAACGAAATCGATAACTATTCTTGAATAATTGATCATTTTTTCTCTCTACTTGAAAAGTATGAAGATGTGAATGTACGTATTCGTATACATACAGTATGATGCAAATGTATGGAATAAATTCATTTCAAAACAAGACGACTTCCGAAAAAAATCCAAAAAGTAGAGTTCAGAACTTTTTTATCGATGTATTTTTTCAACTAGACGACCCTTCGATGTTCAATTCTCAGTAGAAGATCTCTGCAAGATTCAGTTAACCAAATGATAATCCACTTTAATTTTAATCTCCTTTTGCAAAATTTTGACTATTGGATAGACGATCAGTAGACCTTTCAAACGAGGTGTCACATGACCCCTGTTTGTATTTGAAAAAACCGTCCATTACGTCATTACTGCAACACCGGTGACGTAACATCTCTCATATGAATGTCATGAGATGAGGTTTCAAAAATTAAAACTCACGTGTTTTTGGAATTTCTCCAAATGTCGCCCATTTCTTAAATAATGAATTTATTCCATACATTTGCATCATACTGTATACTACTACCTTGAGAACTATAATTTGAACATCTACGTCCATCGAACCCATATTTGTTGGTTTTTGGTTTTTCATGTGCCCAATGTTCCTTTGGAACATCTTGGCCTGTGTCTGCATTTTATATTTAGGTGGGTAAAACTCTTATATACTATTTTTTGGTCGACCTTTCAGGGCACATGTTATTTATACCTAGTTTTCTTTACTAATTTGTGTAATTGCATCACCTTTCATCGAAAGGTCAACCACTATGTCGAATATGTGTTCACTTGGTGTCCAATCCCGATGTAATCCGTCCAATCTCAGGCCAATATTCCTATTCTCACAATGCATATGTCCAAACTCGTATTTATAATATTCGATAATATCGGTCCAATCCTACGTCCAGTTTGCCCAATCGTGTACGAGAGAGTGGATTACCCCTCGCCTTTTATATTAAGTGATACACTGTCCTGGGGCTCATTACTGCATTTCATATTCAAGTTTTTGACTTTTCGCTCAACCAAGAGGTTTTGGTGAACTTGAAGCAAATAAATAGTCTCCCGAACCATCAGCGTTTCTATCAGTGAACCCACCAAACTCCTCAGACCGTTACAACTCGATCTGATAATTTCAATTTAGTTAGGGCTAAATGAGCGCCTCAATACTTCAAAGAACTGCAAATGATCTATGAATGAATCGCAGTGTCTATCTATATTTTAATTTTGTCCAAGCACTCGCAAATGTACAAGTGTATGTTATTGTCCCCACCATTCGCGATTTCATTCCTTCATCCGTGTTTGGCATTCCCGATTGCTGTATAATTTTCATTGATTTATGAATGAATCGCGCGGTGTCTTCGTGATTATGTCGTCCACTTAGTTATCCCCACCATTCGCGATTTCATTCCTTTATCCGTGTTTGATACTTTTTTAATGATCTAAGAATGAATCGCGGTGTATATTATTGTTATTTAGGCTGAGCACTCACCCGCAAATTTACAAGTGTCTGTTATTATCCCCACCATTCGCGATTTCATTCATCTATCCGTGTTCGGCCTTAAGGATTGTTGGCCTATACTTTTCAATGATCCAGGAATGAATCGCGGTGTCTCTTTATTGTTATATAGTTTGAGGAGTCCATTTGGGGTATTTAGAGAGTGAACATACTGAAAGTCCTGATATCTAGGATGTGAGCCAGAGGAGGAGGGTAGTAAGCTTTCGCTGTTGGGCTTGTAGCTCATAGGTTTGAGCGAACGGTCTGAAGATTTTGATGCCTTTTTTCTCACCTGTTATTCCCACCATTCGCGATTTCATGCCTTTCTCCGTGTTTAGCGTTTATGATTGTACGCGTATAGGTTTTAATGATCTATGATAGAATCGCGGTGTCAATTCACCGTCACCCGCAAATGCACAAGTGTCTGTTACTATCCCCACCATTCGCGATTTCATCCCTTCATCCGTGTTCGGCCGGTCGGCCTTGAGGATTGTTGGCCTATACTTTTCAATGACCCAGCAATGAATCTCGGTGTCTCTTTATTGTTATATAGTGTGAGGACTCCGTTTGAGGTATTTAGAGAGTGAACAATTGAACATACTGAAAGTCCTGATATCTAGGAAGAGGTTAGTGAAGAGCTTTCGCTTTTGGGCTTGTAGCTTATAGGGTTGAACGAACGGTCTGAAGATTTTGATGCCTTTTTTCTCACCTGTTAACCCCACCATTAGCGATTTCATGCCTTTCTCCGTGTATGGCGTTTAGGATTGTACGCGTATAGGTTTTAATGATCTATGAATGAATCACGGTGTCAATTCATCGTTATATGGTATGGGCACCATAGAACTCTGAGTTCTGTGATGGACACTCACCAGCAAATGTACAAGTGTTTGTTATTATCACCACCATTCGCGATTAAATACCTTAATGCGTGTTTGATCGCGGTGTAAAAACGTTTCTCACCTGACAAGCGCACACCTCGCCGAAGCCGCCCTTGCCCAACACCCTGTACATGCGGAACGTCTTGTAGGTGACCGGCTGCGCCTCAAGCCACTTCCACTGCAGGTACCGGTGGAAGTACATGGAGCCGGTGAACTGCTTGAAGGGGGCGCCGGCCAGCGTCCGCTTGACGGCGTCGACGCAAGGCGCGAACAGGTCCTTGTGACCGTTGGTGAGGGCAGAACAGGCGGGCAGAGCGAAGCCGACCTAGAAAAAGAAGAAGAAACGATATGTGAGGTTGCTATTTTGTTCTTTTTCTGAGGAATTTCGAGGAACTGAGGGGAATTTCGGGGGATTTTGTGGGATTCATGGAATTTCGAGGAACTGTGAGGAACTTTTCAAAATTTTGAGTCGTGAGGAATTCAGAGGAATTCTAGGAGTCTTTGGGAATTTTTAGCAAATAGGAATTGTGAGATGTTTCTCCGAATTGTGAGGAATTTCAATCGGGGATAATTATTCAGAATATGGAGAAATTGTGAAAGATTTTGATGAACTTTGTGGTATTCGTCAATTTTTGTGGAACTCAAGGCATTCTTTGGAAGTTCATTAAATTTCGACGGACTGTGAGGAACATTTGAGGGATTGTGAGAAATTTCTAGAAGTTTTGAGTAATTGCAACAAATTGTGAGGAATTTCGAGTTGTGAAGAATTTGGAAAATTTGTGAGGAATATACACATTTTTATGAATTTTGTGATTGAAGAATGTTCAAGAACTGCAAGGAATTTCGAGGAAACTTGGAAATACAGGGTGGCATTGAAATAAGTGCCAATATTTCAAACTGAGAAAGCTCGACGTGTAAATAAGGGATCACAATAAAATTTGAGGTTAGATTCCTTTTTCCACACAAAGTTCTACAGTGTAGCAAATCTGACGTCACCTCTGTTCAAATTTCCATGCGGTAGGCACAATCACGCGGAGTTCAATCATTTAAATTGTTTCAAAGTGGCGTACTTGATTTTTTTCTCGTATTTTGTTCAATTTTTGGGATGAAATTTTTCGTTAATTATAAGAATTAGAAAAAATCTGATATCATGGAAATATTCCCTAGACTGTATCATATTAATGTGCTGAATATGTGCACTTATTTCAAAAACACCATGTATATTGGGAAATCGAAATTGTGAAAAATTTCGAAAAATTTTTAGCGAATTTTGAGGAATCTCGAAAAAAATTTGAGGAGAGTTACAAGGAGTTGTGAGGAATTGAAAAATTTCGAGGAATTTTGATTAACTGAAGAATTTTGGTGAATTTTTGGGAAATGGGAATTATTTTTTGGAATTCAAGGCATTTCGAGAAGCTGTGAGGAACTATTTAAAATTTTGAGCCGTGAGGAATTCAGAGGAATTGTGTAAATTCAAGTTTCGAGGATTATGAACAATGTTCAGGTATTGTGAGTTATTAAAAAGAGTTGTAAAGGATTTTGGTTTCCGAAAATTTTTAAGGAAACTTAATAATTTCGAGGAACAGTGAGGAATTTTGAGGAAATTCCTCGGGAAATTCGATACATTTTGTGGAGTTTCAGGATATATATATTGTAAAGAATTTTCAAGGATTTCGAGCAATTATAAGGAATTTGGAAGGATTGTGCATAATTTTGAGGAATTTGAATACATTTTGTGAAATTCATGGAATTTCGAGGAACTGTGAGAAATTCAAAGATATTTAAGAGAATTCTGAGAAATTGTGATAAATTTCGAGATTTCGAGGAAATTGCGGGAAATGTTGAGGAGTCTGGAAGAATTCTTAGGAAACAAGAGGAGTTTTTAATAATTTTAAAAAATGATGAAACATTTCAAGAAGAATTTTGAGGAATTGTGAAGATTTTTTGAGGACTGAGGAGTTTCGATAACATGTGAGAAAATTTGGAAAAATGAAAATGATTCGGATTATTTTGAGGAATTCAAAATTCCTTCGATAAATTCTGAGGGAATTTGAAGGATTATAGAATTGCGAAATTTCTTTCAAGAAATTATGGCCCATTTCAACAAAAAATGGTGAAACATTTCAAGAGGAATTTTGAGGAATTGTGAAGAATTTTGAGGAATTTCAACGCATTTCAACGGATTGAGAGGAATATCGAGGAATTTCGAAGAATTCTGAGGAATTTAAAGGAATTTCGAGGATTTGTGACGAATGCCCAGAGATTCTGATGACGAAATTCACAATTTACTGACCTCCGGCAAGGAGATGCCGTCCTCGCCGTCCCGCCCCCGAATGAACTCGGCCTTGATGGTGTTGGCCAGCTCGAGGCGGCGCTCGTCCGTCTCCACCTCGTACCGTCGGGCGGCATCGAGGAACTTGAGGCAGCGATGGTAGGCAGGGCCCTTCTGCTCGCACCACAGCTCGAACAGCAGCTGGCCGATCGGCTGCTGGTCCACCACGTACTCGTATCGGACATCTGGAAGAAGTCGAGAATAAGTTAATAAGGTTAGGTTAGCTAACCAGTGAGTGGGTCTATTCAGCCCCACTGCGACCTTTAAGAGTGTATTATGGCTAACACCAATGTATATTTCACCAAATAGATCCAGCTTCTTGATGAAGCCAATTAGTTCACTTGGTGAGTGATCATTCAGGTCCGAGGGCGAGTGTGAAAACCTGCCAATGAGCGAAAATCGCGGCGGGGCAGGCACAAAGTATATGCTCTGCTGTTTCATCATCTTCAAGGCAGAGACGACAGCCCGACAGCCCGGGCCTTAACATGTGAAAGTCACAGCATTCTGGGAATGACCTCCGAAATTATGCCTCCAGCAGTTACCTATGCCTTACACCGTCCTTATCCCGAATAGAGATTACTGGTTCCTCCGAAAGGAGGAACTACTATAAGAGCTGACAACTGTTGATTCACAGATGGTGCAAAAACACCCACAGGCTGTGGTGCAGTTGTATACGGTCCCAGACCTAGGACAGAGATATCAACCAGTCTTGGGTTCTATGCAACCGTATCTTCGACGGAAATTCAATGTGTGCGTAGAGAGATTGGAGGAAACCAACCTCACACATGAAACAATAAAAATATTCTCGGATAACCAAGTGGTTCTGAAAACACATAGCTGAAACCGAGCAACGTCTAGAATGGTAAAGAACTGTCAAAGACTCTTCGCGATTGGAAGACTCAATAAATTCTTTCTGGTCTGAATTCCTGGCCACTCTGGTATGGAAGGTGAAGAAACGGCAGAATCCCTTGCAGAAGAGGCTGCCGCAAGTATTTTGACCAGAACCTGCCATTGGCATTTCACCAAGTCTTGCCAAACATATACTGAACACTTGGACTGTATGCAGAGTTTCAGATCTCTGGCAGAATCTACCAGGACTGGCTCATTCCAAGGCATTTATACATCCAGAATGTTCCAAATAAATTAGAATACAGCAGGGATGACCTATGCTCTCTAACAGGCCTCCTTACAGGCCACTGTCGTCTAAATTGTCGCGAGTAGAACATACAGTATATTATTAATTTCGAACCATGTGGGTTTTATAAACATGAAGTTAATCAAATCATCCGTTGACGTTGAACTATGAAAACTGACCAAGGAACTCTCATGAGAAACGTGCAAATATAATAAAATGATGTATATAAATATTGGATATGAGGGTTCCGAAGTTAATGGTCTGGGGCTACTTGACAAGAGCTCTTCGTAATGGTCATTATAATGTAAGTTGTTATTAGGTCTTTATATTCATTGTTGTTGATTCATATTTGTCATTGCTACCCATAATGTTTCATGATTTAATAAATATTGTAATCTTTGAATATAGTCTCGTACTATCAACTTTTAGTGCCTATTTGAATATTACCTCTCGGAATCTATTAGGCCAAGCAAACCTCTTATAAATCGATATGCATGGACTAACCATCTACAATATCGTGAGCCCGGCGCCTCCACAATATCACGATCAGATTTGCACGTTTCTCATGAGAGTTCCTTGGTCAGTTTTCATAGTTCAATGTCAACGGATGATTTGATTAACTTTATGTTTATGAAACCCTCATGGTTCGAAATTACTAATATACTGTATGTTCGACTCGTGACAATTTAGACGACAGTGGTCTGTCGGAAGACCTGTTAGAGAGCATAGGTCATCCCTGCTGTATTCTAATTTATTTGGAACATTCTGAATGTATGAATGCGTTGGAATGAGCCAATCCTGGTAGATTCTGCCAGAGATCTGAAACTCTGGATACAGACCAAGTGGCAGGTTCTGGTCAAACTACTTGCGGCAGCCTCCTCTGCAAGGGATTCTGCCGTTTCTTTACCTTCCATACCAGAGTGGCCAGGAATCCAGACCAGAACTAATTTATTGAGTCTTCCAATCGCGGGGGGAATTCAACAGTTCTATATACTATTCTAGACGTTGCTCGGTTTGAGCTATGTATTTTCAGAACCGCTTGGCTATCCGAGGCTATTTTTATTGTTTCATGTGTGAGGTTGGTTTCCTCCAATCTATCTAAACACACATCAATGGCTTGAATTTTCGTCTGAAATACGGTTACATAGAATCTAAGACTGGTTGATATATCTGTCCTAGGTCTGCGACCGTATACACCTGCACCAGAGCCCGTGGATGTTTTTGAACCATCTGTGAACCAACAGTTGTCTGCTATTAATAGTTCCTCCTTTCCGAGGAACCAGTAACCTCTATTCGGGATATGGACGGTGTAAGGCAGGTCATAGGTAACTGCTGGAGGCATTATGTCGGAGGTCATTCCCAGAATTTTGTGACTTCTTGTGTCCGCCAAATCAGGAATCAATATCAGGCTTATAGGTTAGGGGAATAAAACATATTTAAAAAAACAGTTCACAAGGTTTTCAGTGTGAAAGAAGGCTTCAGCACATTTAGTTTCCAATTTGAATTTGAAATATTTGATGAACCCCAAAAAAACATACCCAGAATGATGGCTTCGATTTACTCCGCGTGACAATAATGATGATGAACGAAGTTAAAACATAATCTTGTGAAGTGACGGGATTGGCGCAGTGGACCGCGAGGTTGTGGGTTCGAATCCCAGCCAGGCCAAGGAAATTTTCTAATATCTAATTTACGAAATAAATATTGTAAGGTTTCGGAGCATCGGCTGGGGATAATCTTATACGATTCACTGTTGCGTTCCAATGAGAGCTAAGATTATTTATGGTCCATCAGATGGCGCTTCTGAAACGTGAGGTCAGAGTTGGTAGATCTGATAAATATACTTTTTTCTTTCGTGTCATTTTGAATCTTCCAACAATATCTTCCTGTCAATGTAGGAATTGGTCGTGAAGCTAAACATTGAGCTCCTCCTGAAATGGCGCATGGAGTTAGTAACAAAGTCTACACAGAACACATAGGACGAAATGATGATGATGTGGTTGTGAACATCAGAGGAGAAGTAAGACGGTGTATGTAGGTGAAAAACTAAAAGCTGAGCGTGAATGCAGGCCAGCTACCTAGAGGGGCTTTAACACAACCGAAAAACTCTGAAAGAGAGCTGACAAGGGTGTTAGCCATCTCTCAAAAAGTTCCCATTGGAAACTAAACCCTCACTTATGAGTACCAGTAGCAATAAAATTTTGAAAAAAAGAAACTGGGATAATTAATTAGAATAAAATAAAACCGTGATGAAATTATTATTTGGAAAAGAACTAGAACAAGGGAAAACATTGGGATTTTACAAACAATCATAAAGAAAATGACCGAATGGCTAATCTGTGAGACAAATTTAATGAATCATTCAAAATACAAATGATTCGTTATAGGTTCTATTTTCAAAAGAAATATTGTATAGGAATGGTCATAGCACAATACTAAGATAAAATCACACGTACTAAACCAAATACTAAACACTTAAACGATAAACTTATTAGATTACTACATACTACAGATTTGGAAATTTACGTATTAAATAAATGGATGACTTTTTTTTCAATTTGCTTTTGAATATATTTTCTGTTACACTAACACTTGATATATTTTGTATTTTCCGGACTTATTATAATCCCGGAATGTACAACAACGGATGGATGGAAGAAACAACATTCTATGTTGAACATATTCAAACCCAGAGCTCTTTCCTGTGTTAGGAAAATGGATATGAATGTGCGGCGGGATAAAAAAGCGTCATGGGAAAGAATGAGTCTTAGGATACCTCGTCGGATGCTATAAAAGGCTTTTCAAAAGAAAAGGGAATGAAATAATGTCGTAGATAACAAAAAGAGTAGCTGGAGCTGGAACATCCTCTCCAAAGGCGTATCACAAGGAGGGACCAGAATCCTGGTGGCCCAACCCAGAATAAAACCTAGAGCTAAGATATAATGTTTTCCCGAGTATAATTCCCTATTTCATTCTGTGACGGAAAAAAGTGACGTTTCGACATTGAAACAATATTAAATATATTTATTTCTGACAGTGACATTATAAGCTTGTATCGTCATAGTTACGATATCTATAATGAGGGTCATAACTCCCTTGGGATGTTATAGATGCTATAATTCCCTCTAGCTAAAATTAAATAAGAAATGCATAGCAACAACCACGCAATAACGTAGCAATAAGGAATCTCCTATTCGCGGTAGTCAAGATCATCATCTGACGTTCTGATGACATTGAAACTATACGGAAAAACATGTCTAACTTCCAATCGGGAAGGTATCTAATGAATGAAATCAGTCAGAAATAAAATTATCTATGTTTCACGGGAATTATAGAGCCTTAATAACCTCTGGCAATTGCTGTCCCTCGGGCCAGAGGCCCTCGGGACGCAAACTTTGCCATCGGTAATTAAGGCCCTCATAATTCCCTTAATACATAAATAACTATTACAGATTCATTGAATATTAATACATTGACAAAGCCCATGGCCATGGGCGAAACGTTTTTCTAAGTAATCTTTTGAAATTACTTATGAAACCGAATCCAAACCCCAAGAAGAAGCTGCAAATCGAAAACATAACAGGATTCAAGAAAATCTCTCAACAAACAAATATTACAATATATTGAAGGCCAAAAATTATCGAAGGTAATACCACGAGTCCTTCAAATATTATCGATAGTTTTTTTATTTCCTACGAAAACGTTTTCATTTGGCAAAAATATGAAAACAAACCGATTGATAATCACTAGTCCGTAGGACAATTGGTTTCATCAAATTCGGTTTGTTTGAATGATTTTACTTCAAATAAAATTTTTCACTAATTTGAGAAAGAAACACATTTTCACGAGTAAAAGTAATCCTACAAACATTTATTATGATTGATCGTATGGTAAGGTGATGTGTATGATATAAAATGAGAATAAAAAGAGAATCATTAACGCAGGTGAATCTAACTAGTTTTGAACTATAACCTAGGAATGTTATTGTTTATGAATGGTATAGTTTTTATTCAGTCCAGTGATAATTATATTAATGAATCAGTCATGACACATACCTATATGTTTATTTATAGTTTTGTTTTGACAGTTCAGTGTAAATTATCGGAGACTATGCAGTGTTATCAGTATAATACCCAATGATTGAAGTTTCAAACTGGTTGGCTGTTGGACTTACAGCTACCCCTTCAATCAATTTGATTCTGTGATTTGATTTAAAAATTGTGAACTTTGCGGTTGTTTAGTAGTTATTTTTATTATAAAGAAAACTGTCTGATTCTCAGAAATACTGATATAAGTGATTCTTTCCTAAATGCCATTGATCTGTTTTTTGTTTGGCTAGGCTACGCTTAGTCGGCGGTCATAGGACTGCTGGCTGGAGACTGCTTTGCACTGACGAGAGTCAAAGAACTCGAAACCGGTCTGTAGGTGTCTAGCGTGGCCTAGGAAAGGATCACTAGTATCAGTATTCGTTTATTCGAGTCGATGCATAGATTTCGGGAAGATATAATTCAATGTTCTGCGTGGCATTTGCCAGGAAAGTAGTTGTTTTTCTCCCGAAATCTACCATTGTGTGGAAATGCTGAAGCTGTAGGAAGAAACTTCACTTCCAGCTCGTTTCCTCCTCTAACCAAGGAAGATGGAACACTAGCCACAACTGTCCAGGAGAAAGCCAACAGTTTTGCGCAAGTTGTTCAACTACTCATACAAATTGGAGATATTTCCGTCCTGCTGGAAAATTGCAAGAGTACAACCAGTTCCTAAAAAAGGCAAAAAGACCCTACCTATATAGCAACCACAGACCGATCGCACTGCTATCTATTATTTCAAAGATCATGGAGAAAGCTTTCAACATCGAGCTCATGAAATACCTGGAACATTCAGGTATTATCAACGATAGACAATATGGCTTCTGTCATCAGAGATCAACTGGTGACCTGTTCGCTTACGTCTCACATATATGGCAGCAATCTATTGGAAAATATGGTGAAACCTTAGCCGTGGCACTTGACATCTCCAAAGCATTCGATCGAGTCCGGCACCACGGACTCCTCGCTAAGCTTCCATCTTATGACAAGCCTCCCAGCTATGTTCTCTGCTAGCTAGTTTTCTCTTAAACAGGTCTCTCCATGTAGTAGTCGACGGAGTTTGATCTGACTCTCTTTCCATAAATGCTGTGTTCCGCAAGGATCAATTCTACAACACTATTTCTACTCCATATCAAGGATTTGTTGGAAGCAACTTCATGTCCAGTACACAGCTTCGCGGATGATAGTACCCTCCATACTGCCTTCTCTTCCAGGGCTCCGATACCAGCCAGGCAAATCAGAAACGAACGAGGAAGACATTTTGACAACATAATAATAATAATAATAATAATAATAATTTAATAATAATAATAATTTATATATAAATATGGCCTTGGCAACAATTCTCGAATGGAGATCCAATAACTTGGTAGATTTCAATGCAAACAAAACACAAGCATGCCTTTTCTCTAGAAAAGCCGATCTCACTGTGCCAAACATAAGCATGTCAGGACTAACCATACCTTTCTTCCATTTCGATGCTTGGTATTACTATCAGCAATAACCTTTTTTGGGAAAATCACGTGAGATCAATTGCGAAAAGTGCATCCCAAAAACTTGGTTTTCTGTTTCAGGCCAGGAGCTATTTCACTTCCAGTCAGCTGCTTATGATCTATAAGGCACAGATCCGACCTGCTCGGGAATACTGTTCCCATATTTGGAGTGCAGCATCCAAACAAACCCTGAAACTGTTGGATTCTGTCAAAAAAGGGCAATTCGTCTCGTGGGTGATGCCTCGCTCACAAACTCACTCACTTCTCTGGAACACCGTAGAAAGGTTGGCGATCTGGCTCTATTTCATAGATATTTTGATGGACAATGCTCTTCTG